ATGAGAGGTGCTGAAAGGTTGCAAAGCCAACCAGGAGACGCCACATGTCATGGACATTAAATGGAAGAGACAGTTGAAGCATCAGTTCCAAGGAAAAATTAAATGGCGGCAAATATCCCCACTTTAATGAGGTCCACTTCCCAAATATTCTATTGATGAATAAATGGCAAGTGAGGGTACTATCTGTATTGGGAAAAATTAAGTTTATATATGAAATTCATTATAAGATGATACGTCATGATACGTGGACCAGTTAAAGAAGGATAGGTGATGAAGAATAATCAAAGAGACCCGAGCTTCAACAGGCACGAGCGAGCGTTCAGATAAAAAGCAAGGAGGATAGGTGCTCGAACCTCTTTATGATGGAAGGGAATGAATCTGATAGTAAATAAGGTATAGATACGTACTATTGGGCATTAAATACAGAAAATGTTAAGGATTCTATATTGAATCAAATATGATTGATGATTGTAACATTACATTAAATGTCATTAAATGCCATTAATTGACAATAATGGTTCGATTATGGTAGAAGCGAAACGTGTTACCTAGAAATAGCTATAAAAGGAGAAGACTAATCATTTGTAAGGACACGAAATACTATTGGAATATACTGATTACTTTGCTTTCTTATGTTCATCTTACTATTATTAAACTCAATTTCTTTTACTTATTCTATATTTGATTATCAGTAACCCGAGTTCTTCTAAAATAAAGCTTTGACCGAAATTCCTATTTTTGGTAAACATATACGACTCCAAAAATGATTGAGTGTGCCCTCTATCATTTCTCGCTGGATGGAAATGATTAACAAAGAAAGAATGAGTACGAATTAGAGGATCAAAGCATCAAAATTTCCCATGCTTTAACTCTGGATGGATAGAGTAATTCGATATTTTAGTAGCAGAAAAAGATAGCAAATTATCGGATAAAATAGTCTAGATACATTCAAACTAATTCGAACACTATAATTACGAAAAAGAATACATTCCTACTATTAATAAGGGGAAGTTGAGGAGCTTGGGATCGTCAGGGTTATTTTGGTAAAATTGCAATTACTTTGTGCTTTAACTATGTTGCACTTAGAGGTACAGTGTGTGTACCTTTTCTCATATGGCCCCACCTGAACTTCCTTTTTGATATGCATTTGTCACGGATGACTCTAACATAGGCTCCACTAGCAGCCTTTAATGTTATATCAAAATAGTCCTTGTTGTATTGAGCTTGTATTGGGGGTTGGTTTTTTTGGTCCTTCATATGTCACCCTTAATAGATATAGTCCTTTAAAAAATAGCTGAATTCGGTCCTTGAGCCCTAAAACTAACAGAATTTTCAAAACTTGTTGTTAACTTTAACAAGCCACGTGTACCTCACATGGATTTGGATGACCCGATGAAAAACTGAAGAAGGAAGACAACTTTTATTTGCTCACATTTACTTGTTCTTCATTGGCCATTAGAATTTTCAGTTGAGTTTACATCAACCACTGAAATTTAGAAATTTAGGAATATATCTAGCAAGAAGAACCCCTCTTATGACCAAAAAATAAAATAAAATCATATCCAATTAACAAGAAAGCAAGAGTTACGGAGAAAAAAGGAAGAACAAAAAGAAAAATGTAGGAATAGTTGAAGAAAAGAACAATAAATTTACATCTGGATAATATTTTTAAGTTAATAATGTGAATTAGTGCACTAGCTTCTCTATGTAATCATTACAAAACATAAAGAAAAACTAACCAGAAAGGAATCTAATGATAATTTTAAATTTAACCATTACCAACTTCCTCTTACGGTCTTATTCCTCCCGTGACCCAACCCACAAAGCGCCATAGCCAATATATCAATATTTCTGAAGAATTTCAAAAAGAGAAGGGCAAAAGTTTTGATAATGACAATCTTTCTAAACTATCGAAGAATCTTGATATGGAACCGCAACTGAAGAAGAAGAAAAACTATGAAAATGCCCTCAAAATAAAAATAATCACAAATTCATAATACTTAAAGCCACTTCCTCATAAAGAGTGATAGTCACGTCTCAATGAACATGTACAAAGTTTGGGATACTAACCTCAAATTGTAACTTTTTGCACATCAATGATCAATGATGACTGTTTAATTTTTTTTTTTAAAAAGCCACTACCTCTTACACCTCAAGGCACAAGAAAGATTCTTGAATTAAGCAATCGTGTTGCTGATGAACTCTAGCAGTACTACTTCGAAAAACCAATATCTCCGTGACACCTTCTTGTTTAGATTCTTAATTTAAAATAGATTGTCACTAAACTTCTGCCTACATGCATGCAAAAATTTTAAGAAATTTCAATAATATTCCATCACTTAAGTTGTCTGAGATCCTTTTAAAACATTACCAAAAGTTGGTGTTACTGTTAACAATCGACAGAGAAATAATTAAATCAAGATATATACACAAATTGTTCACATAGCTATTGAGCCTGGGCTATGCCCGGGCATAACTTCACTAGTATGTTATGTAATGATGTTTCAACTTGAAAATTGGTATTTGTGGTGAATTCAAAACTTTTAATTTGAACTTGAATTTTTTTTGGCAGAATAGCCTAAATGACACCTGTACTTGTGCCATTTTGTCTTCCCGGTCCTTGTATTCAATAAAGTTTCATCTAGACACCTGAACTCAGTTAAAACATGTATTTTAAACTCCTTCGGCATTACGTGTTGGTCACTCGCCTGACATGGAGGAAATATGATGTCCACATCAGATAAATCAATGCCACATCTTTATTTATTTAAAAATTAATTTTTAATAATATTTCAAATCCATCATCATCTTCCTATGCTGCCGGCGATCCTTATCACCGTGAAACAACCGGAAAATCGGAGTCGCCTCTACCGTTTTGCTCTCTTTCCTCCTTTCTGAGCACAATCTTAAACCCCAATTCTTATACATAAAATTCTTCAATTTTTTTTAAAAAAAGAAATTTATCTTGCAACAACGACTAGCGTACCATCGACAAAAAACAAAGGACTTAGAATTTACAGAGACACAAGTGTAATCTTGATTTACAGAGACATAAAAAGGGGAAAAACCAACAAATAACGTACCATCGCCGGAAGTATTACACTGTCGACCACCACAAAGCAAAATCAGATCGCTGGAAATTAATTACTAGCGGACTCCACCACCTATTTCTCCACTCACCAAACTCCTTCGGAAAACCATGACCACAATGGACTGATGAACACGAAAATTACTTGGCCATAACTTCTTGATATCTTTAAAAACTTTAACCCGATTAATAGATCTATTTATTTAAATTCCCTAAAAGAAAATTCTTCTCTTTTTTATACTATTAATTTTGTTGCTATATTATTTGGCAACCACCCGTTTATTTTGCTGTAAACAGGAAAGAGGGGGGGG